GCATGGCTGGAGTGTTGTGGGGATCGAACTACAGCAAACTGAGGCTGCCAGCATTGTGGAAGCAGCCACTTAAAGAACTGAGCTAGGGCTGGGCCCCCTTGCTTCATGTTTTGAGACAGAACCTCACTTGTATTGCCCAGGCCAGCTCTAAGTGCCTGAGCTCAGGGAATCTCCTGCTTCAGCCTCCCAGTGCTGGGAATGTAGGCATACATCTCTGTGCTTGGCTTAGATATTGATTCAGACAAAAACTTACAAAGGAAAAATTGCTGAAACAAAGCCTGTGAAAATTCTCTTTTAGATACAGAGTTTTATAAAGATGTAGTGGTACCTTGGTTTTCAAAATTAATTTGTTTTACAATTTTGGGGACAATGGCTGTGTTTTGTGCTTGTATGGGGAAGATGGCGATGGTCGTGTTTGTCACCTGATGTTGTAACAAGTACAATTTCACTGAGTGCTTCTGTTTTCAAACCAAATTGTTTACAAAGATAATCATTTGTGAACTGAGATATTATTGTACCCTATAATCATTGTCAAATATACCAAACAATGATGATTCACCTTTACTTCCTCAGGCACTAAAAGAAGAAATCAAAGGGATGCATGGACTGCGGATATTTACCTCCATCCCCAAACACTGACCCTGCCCTGCCCTGGTGGTGTGGATGCTGCTGCCTAAAGCCCTGGATGACTTTGCCTATACCTGCAGTATTCTTTGCCAAAAAAATGTGTGTATTTTGTTCAAAGAGATTTCTATATTGTAATTATAGAAGATATGTTATCTACATAGACATTCATTAAAGGCCATAGACAGCTGACACTTGCAGGGGCCATGAGTAATGCTTCAGGTTCCTTCACGTCGGAAGAGAAGTCCGCGTCACAGTGCTTCTCCCTGCACAGTTCTGTCCTACCACAAGCGTCAGTATGACTGCCATCTTGTGTTGTGAAAAGGATTCTGTGTTTCTTCCCCTCTGCCTTCGTCACTTTCCTCAGCACTGGGACAACATACCTGCCACTTGTACCTTGGAGGAGGAGAAGTTTCTTGTGGTTCACAGGTCAGAAGTGTTAGTGCGTGGTCGCAGGCTTACACAAGGAAGACGCATGAGAAGGGCCTGGGCAGAGGAAAACTGCTCAGTGCATGATTGGCAGAAGGCTGAGAAAGAGGGCTGGGGAGGGAGGGACTTAGTCCAGGGCCCACCGCTAGTGACTGCTCCCTTGACCAGGCCATGCTCCTGAGAGCAGGTTAGTTATAGCTCCCTGCTGTCAGGCCCCATCCAGAAGCTCCGCCTCTGAGTGCATGGGGCTCTGGGGAATATCTGAGATTTAAACCGTTACCTCTTAGTACCCTTAGTTGTGCCATAAGTGAGAAAAGATCCTCAGCTTTGGTGGTTCCTTTAGTTGGTCACTCTTGCCTTTCCTTTCTAAACTCCTTTCAAGAGTGACCTCACCCCCTTAGTTTCTCAGTCTGGAGGGGACCCAAAGATTTGGGGTACCTTAACCTGCATCTTCTGCCTGGCTTTGAAGGGCCTCATCCCCTGCATCTTGACAGGAGGCCAAGCTGGGAGGCTGGGAGCTAGGAGGACAGGCTTTCTCAGCCTTCTCCACTCAGCCAGTCAGGAGGGCCACCCTGACTCTGGGAGCAGGTGACATTAAGAAGTGAGGGCATGCTGGCTGCGCTACCTGGTGTTCTGGCTGCCAGCTGCAGTGGTCGCAGAGCCCATGTCATATGCTGCTGTCTCTGGGTCCGTGGTGTCTTAGTTACTTGTGTCATTATTGAGACAAAGTACCTGGCACCCAAAGTTAAAGGTGTAAAGGCTTAGTTAGCTCATGGTTTGTAGAGATTTTTAGCTCATGGCTTGCGCCAAGGCAGGGTGGCATAGCAGAGGGGTATCAGAGAGGTAAAATAGTCCATGGCAAGCAAGCAGGTGATTGCAAGCGAGGGACAGTCGCAGTTCCTCTTATCCCTTTTATCTTCTCCGGGCTACTTAGGGCAGGAGCACTCATACCCTTAGTCCTAGTGCCCCCGATCCTAGCATCCACATGCTAGGTCTGGCCACCTCTGAAACACCCCACCTATGACCACGTGAAGCTTTGCGGCACTGGTGACGGTGTTGCTGTACAGCATGATTTGGGCTCCAGCCCCCCCAAGCCTACCTTAATCTTGCCCATTTACAAAGCTGGCACACTAGTGCTCCCGGAGCTTCTATGACTGCCCCCATCCTCGCACTAAATTCCTTCCTGCTCACGTAAGTCTAGTTAGTGTTTGTTACATGCAGCCAGGAGCTCTGTGGGCTCACTGACTTCTTGCTATGTGGCTTCTGCCCTCCTGCTCTCGCCTCCCTACTACACAGCATCCTGGTAGGTCTGCATCCCTGCCAATCCGTGGCCTTCCCCCATGTGGGTGGGTGGGTGGGTGGGAGGCTGACCATCCACACCTTCCTCAAACTCCTCTTTGTATTACATGGATCTGGCCACCAGGGAGGTCAGTAGACACTCTCAGGTCTGAAGGAGCCTCCCTGAGAATCAGAGGGTAGAACAACTTTGAGCCCCAGATTTGGGGGACAGCACAAATTTAAAACATTGATTACACTGTGCTCCCATTTTCTGGTTTAAAAATATTCTCTACACCATGGAGTTGGGAGGCTTGCTAGGGCAGACTGCCTTTCACGTGGAATAGACCTTCCACTGCGTCACAGTTGAGAAGGAATAAGAATAAAAGAAGGTGCCTCTGAAAAGGCTAGGCTGCCTCGGGGACAAGTTTAGGTGGTACAGTGAGGAAACACCAAAGACAATCTTAGTGACCACCAGAAGGTGACCGTCAGTAGAATGGAGAGACCACAAAATTAGACACTTGGCATTCCTTGTGCTCAACCTGTCTTATTAAGGGTAGAATCAGCATCGTGATTCTTTTGGTTTGAGGCAGGGTCTAGGTAGTTCAGGCTGACCTTGAACTTGGGATGATCCTCCTGCTTCAGCTTCCTGACTGCTGGATCCTAGGCCTGTGCCACCACACCTGGCATGATCCGTTCTGAAGAGTAGAATGAAAGAGAAGTGAGGCGCAGTTTCAGAAACAAAGCTCTAGGAGGTAGCAAAGGGCCTTCGCTGCCCTCCCTGGGATAGCCAACTCTGGGGAAGTTGACCCTGCGGAGAGAATGCTCACGCAGTCCAAAGCCCCTCGTTTTGGGACTTTCTCTCATTTCTCAACTTGTGCCACCAGGAATTCACAAGAGCACTTGAAGGAAAACAGGTTTCTAGAGAGGAAGATGACAAATCACAACTGAAAGATACCAGTCGGAATCTTTTCTTCTACCATAAAACTAGAAGGAAGCAACACATGGACACTTAGGGAGAGCACAGTTGTCCAGCTGAGTGTTGAGTAGCCAGCAGGGAACCTGTTGTGAGGGGACAGCCAGGTCCCTCCCCACTGTAAGAAAGACAAGTCATCTGGAAGCAGAAAAAAAAAAAAAAAACAAAAACCAGAGTGAGAGTTAAAACAACCAATGTTCATGCAATGCACTTAGCATTTTCTTTCGTAATAGCCTTTATTGAACAATTTTAGTAAAAGGCGAAAGATTTATATGATCTGAAGAGAAACCAGAGTATATTGAACAATTTTAGACTAAGAAAAGTTTGGAGATGGGACAGAGCTCACTATACCCCGCGCCTAGCCTCCTTGGCATTAACACCTGACATGAGCCCATGGCTGCCTGTCTGCAGCCTGGCTTCTCAATGATGCACTGGTACATTTATGACCCTAACTGAGCCAGTGAGCTCTGACCCTTCAGTCAGAGCCCCTTGATCTTTCCCATTTCAAATTTATCTCGGTTTTTGGCAGTGCTAGATGAAAGCTGAAATCATCTGCACCCTGAGGATACCGTACTTGGTGATTCAGAATGGTGATCAACTAGAACCCAACATGAGTGAATAGGTGCTGCCAAAAGAAGAAATGCTTATCAATTTCAAATGACACAATTGTAAATTGACAGTTGGCACCTTTCCATGTCCTTCAGTGAGTGAAACTTGATTAGAGTCAACACTAGTAAAGGAAAACAATGTTGTGTGATCCTGAGCACCCACCATGGGGCTCTGCAGACTGGTGCTATATCACTGTGCATGCATGCATCCATCCATTTTTCCTTCCTTCCATTCATCCATCCAGCCATCTCTATCCTTCCACCCATCCATCTCTATCCTTCCATCTATCCATCCATCTCTATCCTTCCATCCTTCCTTCCTTCCATCCATCTCTATCCTTCCATCCATCCATCCATCTATCCATCCATCTCTATTCTTCCATTCATCCATCCATCCATCCATCCATCTATCTCTATCCATCCATCCACCAATCCATCCTTCCTTCCTTCCATCCATCTCTATCTTTCCATCCATCTATCCATCCATCTATCCATCCATCCATCCTTCCTTCCATCCATCCGTCCATCCATCCATCTCTATCCTTCCATCTATCTCTATCCTTCCATCCATTCATCCATCCATCTAGCCATCCATCCATCTATCCATCCTTCCTTCCATCCACGCATTGATCCATCATCCATCTATCCATCCATCCATCCTTCCATCCATGCATCGATCCATCATCCATCCATCCACCCATTCTATCTTTTGAAGAACTACCTGTAACAGGCAGGAGATACAACTCTATAACTTTAAAAATCTAAGTGATATTAAATACATCTCAGTATTTTTGGCACTTTTGTTTAAATAGATTTGGACAAATAACCCTTTTCATTTTCATTTCTTCAAGTGCAGATTCACCTGTCACCTGCATTTCCCTTATAACATACAATGATTTTGCCTC